TCTCCTAATTCAGTCCTCTGTAGGTTGATCATTTCCATCAAATGATGGGGCATCCTTACGTTCCTAACACATTACCCAGTTCATATCAGTATAGATATCCAGCATGATATTTTTCCCCATTGAGATCTGATGTGTTTTCAAAGTGTTAATTTAATTTTTTTGAGCATTGTACTTTCTCCCTCTACCTCCCACCCACTTTCTTCTTTACCCTTTTTATTCTGTCTCTCTCTTTCCCCTCTTTCTGTCTCTTTCAATTTGGCTATATGCAAATCCCCTTTCTCGTCCTGGAATGGGTCAACCTCTGGCCTCTGCCCAAGAGGAACTCCCATTGCATTGAATGTCCCCAGTTTTGGACCATCTGAAGTGTTTTATAATGCTCACAGAAGAGGTATCTTCACTCTAACTCTGTCACCATATCTTGTATGTAATACTTTCAACTTCTCTTTACCACTTTATCTGTTGATGACTTTCTTCATTGATGTCTTTTGCTACTGTTCGCTTTGTACTATCTTGAAAACTGCAAAACTCTCATGAAAAAGAAAAGGTCTAGGAATGACAGAACAGCTGTTTCTTGTTTCTGTCATGACAGGTTCCCTTTAATAAAAACAATGAAGGAAACACTATATAAAAAATATGTATTTAAATTTATTTTTTGTTGGTTCATTTTCTGAAAATAATTTCACTACAGACCTGAGAATAGTCTCTTCTAATGTAAGTAACAAGTTTATGTAAAATTACCCTGAAAACTTACTGGAGCATTGTTTAAGATGATTGTAACAACAGTATTATTCTGCTTCATTTAGTCAACTAAAAAAGCATTTGCTGTCCAAAAAAAACGTTAAAGAAAGATTACAGTTTGCTATTGAACATATCGGCAAAGACTGGGCCTTCTGGAACAATATGCTGAAGACTGGTCAATTACAGATACAGTTGTTAGGGCACAGTAAGTAGACATGTTTGCCATAAACTGAAGGCATTATTTATGGAGAAGAATTTCATAGCAACTATGAAGAATGATTTTAAAATTGAATGGTTTTTGGTTGCTTTGCTGCTTCGGGGCCTGGAGCTAGCAGCCATTAAGTCAACTATATGGTCTGAATTATATCAAAGTGTGCCTGATGAGAATGTGAGGCCATCTGTCTGAAAATTAAAGTTGAACCCGAAATGATTCTTTCAATGGGATATTTGTCCAAAGCATACTAGCACCATCCACCAAGTAATAGAGAGAGGAAGGGATATAATACACAAAGTGCCAACATCCCTAACGAATACAAGGGGGGAAAAAGTCCCTTTTTTTGGTGGGACTTTAACAGCACAATTTGCTTGTATGATAAATTTCAACAATTCAAAAGAGATTTTTTTTAGAAAAACAGTATGAAATTTTCTTTTTACAATCTTCAAAAATAAATGTAAAGCTACAATACATATTGCGGTGGTGTCAACAAAGATGGTATTGCAGATCTAATCATGGATCATGCATGGTTCGCAATTGATGTGTTTCGAGATCAACAAAAATCTCTTCAGAAGTGCTCAAGAAGGCATGACGTATGATTCCATGTGAGGTAAAAACCGCCAGGAAATAATAAAAATAAATTGTTATGTAAACACAGCAACAGATTTTTCATATATCTCAGTCAAAAAAATGATGAAACAAAAATTAATAAAGAAAAAACTGAGACCAGTACATGAAAAATGCCGCCCAAACGCCTCCTGAAGGGGCCCCTCCCAAATGCACCATCAACAAGATTACCTGTTGGTTGGTACTGATAGGGCTGTGCTACTATGAGTGCAAAGGGATGACCACAAGGAATTTGCGTGAGAAAGTATTGATGACCTGATAAAAATCAAGATTGAGATGTGAAAGACAGCCCAATATAGCGCAATATACCAGGTCTATCCCAAGAAGGATGCTTGATGGCTGTGAGCCTTGACCTAGATAAAGCAGGGCAGTTATGGAAAATGCAAAAAAAAAAAATATTGTCTCCATTCAAGTACATAACCTTTATGTGTAGGCCTTATTTTAATCAAGTCCTAAAGTTTCCTTGCCATGAAGGTCCATGTTCAGACATTTCATGAAATAAGGTGACAATGCTCTGTTCTTGTCTTCCAATTGTGCTCCAGCATTGTCACCGTGTCACATGGGCATCCATGGAGATTATATTTATTTCAACACACATTATGCAGAGATGACCTACTCTTGTCACTATTAGGAAATCTGATATCAACAGAACTGATGTGCAACAAAGGATCTTCTCCAATTTAACTTTTTGAAACAAAAAAAAATTTAAATGATGTTGACCCAAAACCATTATAGTTTTTTTCTTCAAACGTAGACAGCTGAATGGTGACCACATCGTGTATAGTTCAATATTTTGGAGAGGGTATGCACAAGAATATCTTCTTTCAAAGTCAGACATTTCCCTGGTATTTGCTCAGCCTTCTATTTACTATAAACTGACAGAAAACAGTCCAATAAGTGTTAAGTACGTAGCCAAGGAAATAGAGTAACAGAGGTGGATATTTTTTGCAGGAAGGCGAATGAAATATGCGGGTTATTTTTCACCTAATTAGACCTGCATTAAAATAGAGATCTGTCAGCAGAGCAAGCAGAAGCTGTTCTTTTTAACACATCACTTGTAGAGCTTCTGACCTTTACCCTTCACATAATAGTATGTGCCAACCTAATCCTATAAAAGGGATTATACCATATGTTCTCAGCCTTCAATTAATACAAAAGGGAAAAGGTGATAACATATAGATGACTCACTGATAGAAGCAAAACTAAATTTGTGACAACATCTAATAATATGGAATTTTTTGTTTCACAAGGATGTTTTTGTTTCACAAGAAAAAAAAATGTAATAGTTTGTTTCTGCATAAATAAGCTGACAGAAGAATAGACAAATAAAGACAAAGAGTGGCGATAGCTGGATAGATAGATAGATAGATAGATAGATAGATGCTGTAGATCTGAAGTGATGAATTGTATTTTCCAAAAATAAATACATTTTTGTTATATGCAATGACTGACCAAAATCTTGGGCTGTTTGCAACATACTAAAGCCTCATACACACAATCAGGAAATCGCACACAAAATACCGCTGTCAAAGTGATCGTACAATAATCTGACTGTTAGTACACAACTTTTGAGAGGCAATCACGACAGTTCATCCGAAATTATCCGAAGGGACAAACACAAAAATGTTTCTAGTACGATTTTTGTTTAATCAGTACAGTATTCGTCAAAAAAGACAATACAATACATTACCTCACTTCCGAAATTCTATTCTTTCATACGTGAATTTTCGTTAGTTGAGTAACCTCTTCATTTTCATTATGGAGAATAGCATTCGTCCAATATTCTCATAGTGTGTACGAGGCTTAATTCATTAGGTTAGTATAAAATCTGAATCTCTAACCAGATCCCCACTGTAAATGAGCATTCGCCTGGTAAGTATCCAGCACTGACTGATAGGGCATTATTTGGAGTATTGTGTTTACCTGATTATTCTGATCTCCAGGAGGGAGCTGCAAACTGTCGGGGTCTGGAAGATTTGGCCAGTAACCACCATCACATATCCATACATGGATATGTGATGGTAGGGTGTACGCCATACTTTGGGCTATTTCTGCTAAATCCAAGAGAAGCTACTAGTCCAGTTCTTGCCATCACCAAATTAACTAATTTCAAACTAAATCCCTTAACATTTCACCCAGACCTGCTACCTAAATGGAATTCTCAGTGTATTAAACCCTGTTTTTGTGCATAGAACATGCATATTCCAGTATGAACAAATTATCCTTAACAAAAAACTAATTTGCAGTTAGAATTTTGTTTGTTTAAAACATTTTTTTCTGTCTCTACGGTCAAAAACAATCATAGATTTGACCTTGCTAACCATTAGAAAATCAGACGAACATTCCAAAATTTAAAATTTTAATTTTACAAGCTTACAATTTCATTTTCAATTTAGTAACTTTACAAGTCTGCATGAATCTATTCCTGACATGTCACAATATACAGCAATAGTATGAATTTTCAGATAGGCTCTACCTAATCTCCAAAGTAAAGAAAATATCCTCTTTGATAGCTGTCACTGGAACAAGTGTCCCCATCAGAATATTTTTTCATACTTACTCTGCTGAAAACTCAGACATTCAGATTTACAGTCGCTTTCAACCCCAGTGACAACAGTCACCAGGATAAACAGAGAAAGTGAATCTCCCTTGCAGGGACAAGGGCAGCAATGAAATCCCAAAAGAGCTGTTAATCCTTCTCTACTCTATCCAAAACTAATATTCATCTTATTAATACCATCAAATAAATTGTAATGATGCATTTTAAAACACTACTGTAGCCCTCTTTTTGGGGGAAGGGGGAAGAGAGGGTTTATGAAGAATGGCCCTCCCAAACAGGATATGGTGTTAAACCTGTAGGTGAATAAGAGAACCAAAACCTTTGTTAAGTGGAAGAGTGGGTTTGATAATAAAGTTGGCAGTGCCTCCACCCAGGACAGGGCCTCTGTGAACAGAGGGGATTAATGGTTAATAATAGTACATACATATAATGTACAAACAGGTATTATCAGCAAATGGTGCAACAATAGTCCTGGTGGAATACCATTAGATAAACGTTGCAGCAAAGTTCAGTTGCAGAGGCCCCTGAGGATGATCACGATATGGAGTTCATCCTGGTGTCAGAGCCCTGAAGACAAGCGCTGATGGGGAGATCTTCCAACTGTTGTCCAACCAGTCTGGAATGCAGTTTCACACCAGCAGAAACCATTGTGTAGCACTGGAACTCAGTGTCAGCCTATCTACTCTGCATCTTAGTCCCTAATAGCTTCGAATCTTTCATACAGCCATGCGTCTAACTATCAAGTGGCCTTTGGATGCCTAACCTGGCTCTAGCCTATGCTGGATTTTGAACCCTGAGCTAAATCTAGAAATAGAATCTTAGACTAGAAGGGACAGGGTTAACCAGGGGCGGACTGACAACTCATGGGGCCCCCGGGCAATAGGGGATCATGGGGCCCCTGTGTCCTTGCCCAAACTCAAAAAAGCCTAGGAAAAAGGTACCAGGGGCATCTCATGGGGCATCCTACTGACCCCGGGCCCTCGGGCAGTGCCCGAGTTTCCAAATGGTCAGTCCGCCCCTGGGGTTAACCAAAATAACAGGAGCTACATATAAACTCTATTACAATAAACAGGTTCACCTACTAACATACCACAAGGTCACCACTATACAAGCACACCATATCACAGACTCAGCTATCTTGTAAAGTGCATATGAGATAACAACACGGAAACAGATATTATTTTTTCTTATTATTATTAATATAGGTACTTATATAGCGCTGTCAATTTACACAGCGCTTTACATATATATTGTACATTCATATCAGTCCCTAACAATCAAGGGGTGTACAATCTAAGGTAGATATACTTTTGTCACCAGTCTTTATTTATATTATGTATACCCAGAAGCTATGGGCAACAATGGTAAACTATTAAACACAAGAACACTTGCCTAATAACCCCTGGAATTACTAGCAGTTTTTACAGGGACAGGTCTTAGCTCTTCCCTTTTTCCACTTCCTTCCTCTGGAGTTTCTAAGCCAACTAGCAGGGACAGGAAGTACCTGTCTATAACCAACCAATTAAGTGGTAATTAAAAAGCAACAGCTATTTACATATACAAACAGTAGAGGGCAGCAGATCCCTACACTATGCTATTGGCCTCCAGACATATCAGGTCTTCTATATTTATGAAGTTAAAGTGGTTGTAAAGGCTCATGTTTTTTTACCTTCATGCATTCTATGCATGAAGGAAAAAAAACCTTCTGTGTGCAGCAGGGCCCCCAACACCCTTAAAACTTACCTGAGCCCCATCGTGATCCAGCGATCTACGTGACAGTCTGTTCTGGGTCTCTGCCTCCTCATTGGCTGAGACAGCAAGCGGGAGCCACTGGCCCCCGCTCTGTCAATCACAGCCAGTCAGCCAATGAAGAGAGAGTGGGGCCAAGCCACGGCTCCATTGCAGCTTGCTATGGGGGCACCCCACAGAAAGGAGGGGACAGGAGAGCCTGTGGGGGACCCGAGAAGAGGAAGATCCGGGTTCGGGCTGCTCTGTGCAAAACAATTCTACAAAGCAGGTAAGTATAGACATGTTTGTTATTTTACACCAAAAAAAAACCCTTTAGTGTCACTTTAAAGTATATCTAAACCTTGTGCACCAATGTGCAGTAGGGAGGTTCCTGTCTGTGCTCTAGCTAATTTACACTGAATTCTAATCCTCCCTCTATCCTGTAAACTAAATGTACTGATGTGCCGTGTGTCTACATCAGCTTGTAGTACCAGGAGGGATATCCAGTTGGGAAAGTGTTAGTGTTGCTCTTCCTTAGGGAGCTTCTTTGGTTGCATTATCACCCTACATAAAGTTTTACCTGGCAGGATCAGTGGATTTAAAGAAAAGAAAGTAAGAAGATTAAAAAAAGAATAGGTCTAGGGCTGCAACTATTATTTTCATAATCATTTATTATTTTTTTTTTATTATTATTATTATACAGGATTTATATAGCGCCAAAAGTTTGCTCAGCACTTTACAATATAACAGGAGACAATACAGCAACAATACAGTTCAATACAAGAGGGATAGGAGGGCCCTGCTCCTCGGGGATTACAATCTAGGATATTTAGATGGAAGATTATAGTTTCAATTAATCAGATAAAAAAACTCAAAAAAAGTTTGGTGTGTAATTTAGCTAATATCTAAAGTTGAAAAAAAAACAGATTATTTTTGAATATCAATATGCAGTGGTAAATATAACCAGCTATATAGGTAAGGAACAAAATATCCATTCACTCTGAGAATATCAGACAGAAGAGATATGCTGTATACTATTACAGGTTGAGTGTGGTACATACAGTATCATCAGACTCAGATCAAAAAATTAAAAAAGACCTAATATACTGTTTTGCAGATTTTCAGACAGGACTATAATATAATATTATGTGAGATCAGACTCCCCTGTCATAGGCAGGTAGCTTGATACAATCTGTGCCTGCCGTCACTAAGACATTTAGGCCACCCATACATGGGTCGATTTTCCGAACGATTTTTCGTTAGAAAATCGGACCTAAGAATAATCGACCTGTTAGTGGGGAATGGCACTGGACGATTTTTGTGGTTCCTCCCCATTTCATTTATCGGGCATGTTGGAAAATTCATGAAAAACTACCAATTTTCGAAATCATTGGTGGCATCATCGGATTACAGAACGAACGTTTTCAATTTTAGATCGAAAAATCGTTCAGAATTCGACCCATGTATGGCCTGCTTTAGTAGCTGCAGCATACTTTTTGTATCACCTGTCATAATGGGGTTACGAAAATATTTCCTTTTATAGAAGAAAAACAGCAGATAATCACTACTATAAGGGTTAATATATACTGTAAAACAATTAAAGTAAATATATATATAAAATAAATATATCGAGAAGTAGGATATACAGGGTATTTTACTGGGAGTCAGACATGAAGCTATATGACTGGCGGGGGGGGGTTAAAAATCTTTTATATTAAAGTAATACTAAATTGTGAGTCTTTTTTGCATGAATTATACTGGTAAAGTTTAACTTTAAATTTAATTGTAATACCTTATGTTGCCTCCAGTCTATTATCCTCCAGCTGTTTTCTTCTATAACTTTTAAAATTAAATTCAGATACACAAGTATGTTTATAGACAAAATGTATTTGTTTTAGATAGAGCAGAGAAGAATTAAAACCCCTGTCAAGGTATTTTTTGCTGTCTTTGAAAGATTTCCCTTAATTTCCTGTTCTGAAGATACAACATGAAAGTCTCTCCAAAGTGACCAGAATTCCCATCTTAGAGAACAGGTGTCCCTATTGGAGGATTTTCCCTCACTTCTTGTCCTGGTGACAACTCAAAATTTTTGAAATTCCACTCACTTTCTGTTTCAGTGATTGTGGTCACCAAGACGAATAGAGAAATGGAATCCTCCCAGCAGGGACACTAACAGCAAAAAAAGGGTGCTTGCAAGTTATAGTAGCATGGGCAGCACAGTGGCTAAATGGTTAGCACTTCCGCCTGGCAGTACTAAGGTCGCTGGTTCAAATCCCCACCATGGCACCACCTGCCTGGAGTTTGCATGTTCTCTCTGTGCCTGTGTGGGTTTCCTCCAGGTAGTCCGGTTTTCTCCCACACTCCAAAGACATGCTAGTAGGTTAATTGGCTCCTGTCTAAATTGGCCCTAATATGTGTATGTATGAGTCTCGAATATTTTGAAAGAAATCTTGCGAGCCAGAAGACCAAATAATATATATAAACAATCTATATGTTGGATCGCAAACCTCTAACACATAACTACCAATGTGAAAAACGTGAAATAAAAATATATATAGTGTTGCGCTCTCAATCCTTCAATCAATATATATTAAAAAATGTGTATTAATAAACATAGATACTTATACTTGTGAATCTTTTGAATCAACTCAAATAACCAGTGTACATGGGGCAATGATAAATAAATAAACAAATAAAAAATAAAAAAAATATTTAAATAATATAAATATATAATGTATAATTATATATAAATATATAATAAATGTCCCAAAAAGTGACTTTGTGCTGAAAAAATCTTCAAATGGCATAAAATCGGTGACTGCTTGTGACTCCTCCCTCAAGTGAAGATATGCGCTCACCTCACAGGTAGCCTGCAATTAGGCTATTAAAGCTTGCGGTTCACCTCCTTTGGAACCTGCTTGTTACGAACTCCTGTTACAAGAAATCCATGGAATGCGACATATATTATGGAATAAATCTCCTCTCCTAGGGTGCCACTCCTCTATCTTCCTGTCTCCATGCGGTTCTCAAGCACGCAGCTGTGCTGTTCTTCTACAGCAAACTGTAATTCTTCAAGCAGGAAGCCTCCTACACCCCAATGGCACGCAGCAACAAGTGTGTGAGAACACCTCACACAGGACTGTAGTCTATGCCTCACCAACCACGTACGTATTTACTTCAGAAACCTTCTGTCTCTTTCCGCCATTCCCACAACATAATACCCGCGCTTCCAAACTCCAACCTCGGCGGAAAGAGACAGAAGGTTTCTGAAGTAAATACGTACGTGGTTGGTGAGGCATAGACTACAGTCCTGTGTGAGGTGTTCTCACACACTTGTTGCTGCGTGCCATTGGGGTGTAGGAGGCTTCCTGCTTGAAGAATTACAGTTTGCTGTAGAAAGAACAGCACAGCTGCGTGCTTGAGAACCGCATGGAGACAGGAAGATAGAGGAGTGGCACCCTAGGAGAGGAGATTTATTCCATAATATATGTCGCATTCCATGGATTTCTTGTAACAGGAGTTCGTAACAAGCAGGTTCCAAAGGAGGTGAACCGCAAGCTTTAATAGCCTAATTGCAGGCTACCTATGAGGTGAGCGCATATCTTCACTTGAGGGAGGAGTCACAAGCAGTCACCGATTTTATGCCATTTGAAGATTTTTTCAGCACAAAGTCACTTTTTGGGACATTTATTATATATTATATATAATTATACATTATATATTTATATTATTTAAATTTTTTTTTTTTTATTTGTTTATTTATTTATCATTGCCCCATGTACACTGGTTATTTGAGTTGATTCAAAAGATTCACAAGTATAAGTATCTATGTTTTATTAATACACATTTTTTTTAATATATATTTGATTGAAGGATTGAGAGCGCAACACTATATATATTTTTATGTGTATGTATGAATGTGAGTTAGGGACTTTAGATTATACACCCCTTGAGGGTTAGGGACTGATGTGAATGTACAATATATGTATGTAAAAGTGCTGCTTAAGATTGATGGCGCTATATAAGTACCTGAAAAAAATAAATAATGCACACAGGCTTTGTGTGAACGGGTGCTAACAATTTCCAAATCCATTCAAAGCTCAAAAAATAAAGTTGTCTTTACTGCTACCACTTTTCTAATGCCTCCCCAACAAAAAGTTGGATGGAATAGATATTCAGAGGATAAGCTCCCCTTATTAGAAAAAATAATAACTACACATATTTTTACAAGAAAAAAGAGCATTTTTTTTATTTTGTCCTACAGCAGCCTGCAAAGCATTGCACCCCCAATCTGTAGATTGCAGGTGTATTGTCAGGCTCTTGCAGACTCCAGCTTTCTGCCCAAATCTCTGTACAGGTTTTCACTTAGAAAGCTGCAGGAAGAGTAAAT